AGCTAGCTGTGCCCCTTGGAAGGATTTCTCTACTTATGCAGCTGCTAAGTACGTCTGGTCTGAAGATGAACTGAATAGGAAACCAGAACACGTTTACAAAATACTGAACAAAACAATATTTTCATTATTAGTTTATAATAACTTAGTGTGACTAGTAAGTTAAATGCTATTGACAGTTTTCAAGACAAAGAGGTTCATGGTCATATAGTTGGATATAGAGAGGTGGAGCAATAGTGTACATGATGGTATATGATGACATTATACAAACTATCCACTCCCTCTTTACTGGGAACTGTGTACATATAATGGTAAACAAGTATATCACATTTCCTCCCCTTTCTATCATTATAGCTATGTTACTGTCAGAGCTCATTAACAAGTACTTAGTTTATAATACTGCATGCATATACACAGATCTATCTGTTATCAGAATGACAGCTACATGTACTATTAGGTATCAAATGAAGATTACACATAAAGTGCTAGAGATGGAGGTGTGGCAAAGTTACATCAAAGAGTAGGATGCATGCACTAAAGAACTAATAGGATGAGGTAGTGAAGAGTGATATGGTATTATGATATACAAACTATGCCCTCCCCTTACTACACAATGTACACTACTAGCAGTATGATATAGTGCTTCATCTGACCAGTAATAGGTGACTAAAAGTATATGTATATACTTTATATATATATGTATATAAAGTATATGTATATGTAAAAGTATATCAAAAGTATATGTAATACAGAAGGTATTCTGGTATATATCTGGAATATCTTAAAAAGCAAAGATGCATGCACATGCTTTGGCGGCTGCAGAAGTCCAACTCAGCCTAGGCATTTCTAATTAAAGGGGTGTGGTAAAAGGGTTAAATAGCATTGTTTCTACTTCTGGTCTAATTTTTAACCTAGGCAATGACCCCCAATGCCTAGGCCTGCAGCAGCCTATGTGCACATGCAAGTACATGTATGTGTGTGCATTATACTGTGTTATAAGTGATGAAAATAACCCCAGCCTCTGGTCATACACTAAGATCTACTTCCTGTACTGACCCTTTAGCTATTACCACACACACATCCTTTATACTGGTACACATAATAGTTGACCATATTTGGGCATAATAACTAAAATGCTAATAATAACAGTATTAACAGTCACTGTCATGTGATGATGAACGTTACTTACAATTAGAGGAACTACTTGTCTTGTAAAGTAACTTCAACAATAATTACAAGATGATTGATGTCTCTCAATGGAGAGCAAGTATTGGACTGTGGAACTACTGTCAAGCTGCCTCCAGTAGACCAGCTAATGGCCGCCACTCTCACTCATTCAAAGCTGCAGTAGACAGCAAGTCCGGCAGTACTACATCAGGAGAGAAGACATCTAAACTGCCAGCAGCTCTGTCTCTTATTGCTTTACTCTTCCTCCTCTTTCTCTCTCTCTCTTTATTAAGACACATCTTGATGATTCCTCCAACAGGTAAACAACAATTGCAACTTTGTACTTGTATATTTACTGGTATTTTATTATTAGGTAACTGCTACCAAGTACAATGTACTACTGGTGTTACTGTTACTGATACAAATTACCTCCAGTCAATAGTCTTACCTGGGGGCAGCAGTTCTAACCTGATTTACAATGATCTCTGTTTGATTGTTTGTCTACGTATGCTCCTCCTCTTATCAGGAAATGTTGAACTCAATCCTGGTCCTATAACAGGTAAACATACACTTAATACAACACTCATTAACTGATACACTACTGCAGGTAATCCAAAGGATATATTAAGGACTCATTCTATTAAACTCACTGATGCTATTACTACTAACCTTTACAGAGTAACTGATGCACTGTATGCTAAAGAGCTGATAACACTGGATACTAAAGAGAATATACAAACAGTAACAGGAATATCTGATTATAGGAAATCAAGTCAATTAGTGTCTGTGATACAACAACAGTTGGAATCCACTCTTAATCCAGATCAGTATCTTATTGATATATGTCTTGTGTTAATAAACCAACAACATCATACACTAACAGATATTGCTACCTCTATATTACACCAGTTAGGTGAGTGTGTGTGTATATATTATCAGTGATCAATAATTATAGTCATTATATCTCAATTTATTAGGGTTTACAAAATTTTATATCGAAGATCTAATAAAATCAGGTTTGATAAGCTGATAATGACGCAATATGCATGCTTACATGGTTTTTAAAAATACTTTGCTTGATCATACAGGTTTTTCTTGAATGTTATACCAGTACATATAATTGTAATAGGTACTCTAGAGAAGTGGTGTAAAGAAGGTATCATGACGCTGACACTTACTCGTGTACTCATGATTGGTCCTGCTGGATCTGGTAAAACTTGTGCACAAAGTCTTCTACTTAATGAAGGCCCACCAACGGGCATACCATCAGAATATGCTAGCTCATCTAAGCCACCTACCCTTTTACAATCTGACTCACATACCAATGCCCCCTCAACCACTACAACTCCAGTACTATCATCTGGTCTCACTCCTCATTCTATAGTCTCTAAACCTACCACTGACAGTACACCAATAGCTTGTAAAGCTGTCAAAGCTCTTAGAATAGCTTTTGATGGTAAAGAGACATGGAAGAGAATTACTAGAGATGAACTGCTGAAGAAATTAGCATCTAGTTTAAAAAAAGCTGCAGAAAATGCTTTGCGAAGAAGGCAAATATCAGCTCATCCACATTTAGAAGAATTAGAGGGTGCCATGGAAATTGATTTAGAAGTACCACTAGAAGATTATGATCCTGAAGATGTACTTAAGGAAATTGCTGATCTTTTACCTAATGCAGAAGCTCAGTTAAGTGAGAAGTGGGTGTACATTGTTGATTCTGGTGGTCAACCAGCATTTCAGGAGCTGCTACCATTGTTTACTAGAGCAGCTACTCTTAATGTCATCACGCTAGATATTTCAAAAGGCATTGATGAGGAGTTTGAGTTTATGTATCGAATTAATGGACGAGAATTTCCATGTGATGGGGAATGAAATATACAAATCGTAAAATATTCAATTCTGTTGTTTCATCAGCATCAGTTCAAAAACCAATTGATATTGAATTTGTGAAACTTCAGTCTAAACACTCAATGTCTTTTGTCCTGGGTACTCATTATGATGTACTGATTGAAAGGACTAATGAAAAAAAAATGCTGAGACAAAAGTGGTAGAGATGAGTAGTAATTTGATGTCAGAACTGCCTCATTTAGAGAGTCGTATTATTTCCAAAGTACATGGAAATTCAGTCATATATCCAGTTAATACAATGCAGCAAGATTCAGGTAAAAGACAGAAAAATAGTAGAGAAATTTTAGAGACAATATCGAAATGTACAGAGGCTACTATTGAAATTGATGTCCCAATACGATGCTTTGCTTATGAGCTTTATTTAGAAAAGAAGGCAAAAGGCAAAGGTTTTGTTATTAAAGATGAAGCCATTAAAGAAGGGTATAAGCTTTACATGAATGATGATGAAGTCGAATTAGCTTTAACTATTCTTCACAATAGCACAATCATTTTATACTACCCTAAAATCCAACCACAACTAGTATTTGTTAACCCTCAAAAAATCATCAATGTTCTTTCCCATTTGTTAGCTCTTACTTATGTCGATTATCCAACAGCACAATCACTGGCAACAAATGTATCTAATGATGAGATGATGTGTCTTAAAAACGAAGGGTGCTTCACAAAAATTCTTCTTGAAAAGTTTATAGATGTATTTTCAGATGATTTTACACCAGATTATTTCATTAACCTGCTTCAACATCTTCATATTATCAGTGATTTAACTGATTTCAATAGCCAAGCCCAGGATGGAGATAATAGCTATTTCCTTCCTTCTGCTTTACCTCCCTACAATAATAGCTATGATATCAAAGTAACTATAAAGCCTCTTTATTATGTGTGGCAAAAGCAGAAAGGAAAATTGGGACTTCAAAATACTGCGACTCTTGTTCCTCAAGGAATTTTTCCTTTAATTTTTATCCATTTGCTTCAACAGAACAAATATAAAGTTGAATTTCCTCCTCGCCCTAAATATCGTGATGCTTTTTCATTATGGATCTATATTGAAGGAATACATTACACACTTTACATTATTAATTGCTATGAACATATTGCAGTCTATTTCGATGGTCCTAACTGTTCACAAGTTCGTAAGCTGATTACCACAACTATTAATACAAGCTCTGATGCTATTAGTGCTAAACAAAATTATGTGAGTGCATTTCCTTGTCCCAATGGAAAAAAGCATTGCTATTGTATTGTGAATGAAGAGTATAAGGTGGCAAATTGCTCAAAGTGTGATTCAAATGATATCAGTAAAAGTGATGAGAGTTACTGGTGCTGGTTTGACTGTAGTTCAGCAGGTAAATCAATACAGGAATTGTAATATATTTAGCTTATTTAATTTTTATATAAATCATTACTGTATTGGGTCCTGCATGTAACATGGTGCGCACATGTATATGTAAATCATAATAATTACAATCAATCTCCAAATAATGCTTTAATTTATGCATGACCCCAGTACATACATGTAGTTATGCATGTACACATTCAAATCATAATGTACGTGTAGCTAGTCTACTTCTTCTGTTATTAGATTAGATCTATACTTATAATTGTTGTACATCTAATAACTGTTACAATAAAACTTTTTAAACAATTCAGAAATATTTCAAAATAATATATCATTTTTGGCAGACAAAGCAAAAAGTATTGAAAGAGAAGAGACAGATTCAAAGTAAATGTTCTTTATACTATAATAATTAAGTATTTTTGTTGTATTTACAAAGACTTGGCGAATCAATAGTTTCTAAACATAATCCTGGTCCTATAATAGGTAAACAACAGCTGATGGTACTCTACCATGATGGTAGAGTAGTGAAAAGTTATACTTCTATTATAAATATTTTATAGGCAAGGAGCTTGATATGGCAGCAGTCATAAAGATATTTGGTTCTTCTGATGACCATTACATGACAATAGGAGCTGGATTGAATGTAAAGACGACTGATCTCAAACCAATACCAGGAACAGCAAGTACCAATCTTAATTTGGTATTCCAGAGGTGGTTTGATGCTGATAGAGATGTTAGTTGGGGTAGATTAATGAAACTTTGTGATGACTTTCCTGATAAACTGGGCAGAGCAAAATCTAACCTTCTGGAATATATAGGTAAGGATTGATCATAAAAATAAACTATTGACTCATTTTTGGCAGAAAGCAGTGGGGCAACACAAGCAAGTGCTGAAAAAGAAGAGACTGCTCCAAAGTAAGAATATAATTACACTATATCATTGCATTGACAGAGAACCACATAGTAGCACAGCAGCTGCCAAAGACAAGAGTAAAAGTGATGATCAAAGTATGTTAGAATAATTTATAGTTTCATAGTTTCATACATAATAATTAGGGTCAAATCCACCTCCAGATGTCGGCAAATATTGTCCAGAGCTTANAGATAAAATTCAAAATGAGCCATTTACTGATGATCTTGTGAAAGATATTAATATAGTTCTTGTTACAGCCACTGATGTTG